CGGCCGCCATCGCTGTGAGGCGGCTGCCTGCGACAGCTCCTCCTCCGCCTGCCAAATCTCGCGATAGCAGCCGCACAGCTGCAGACCAGCGAATTGCTATTCTCAAATCTCGCGAAACTCGTCTTCCCTCCCGGGAAGTTGCCAGAACTAACTCTGGGCAGCATGGCCCCTTTCCGGCTTCTGCAAGCTCGAGAAAAACTTTGACAAAACGACCAGATGCCGTACAATGAACCCAGTGAGAAGGCTGAAGTTATACGGGATTTGGGCAGGGGGGCTCACGGCTAGGAGCGTGGCTTCGCTTTGACCTACAGGGGTCATTTGGTCCATCCGTCTGCCCATTCAACCTTTTACCACCACCATTAACCCTCGTGAGCCAAGCCTCTGATTACTGGTTAGAATGACACCAATTTAGGGCCAGCAGGTGGCGCAGTGGTTAAGGGCACAGAACTCCCACATGGTCCACCGAGGTTCGTAGTCCCAGACCTGGAGGCTTGCTTTCTCACTTGTTTTGTCCCTCTCTGGTTAAAATGAATATAAATAAGTAAAGCTAATTTTAAAAAAGTTAAAAAAAAATAACTCCAATTTTCCTTTTTCTGCCATAATTTAGACAAAAAACGTAGGTGACAATTGCCATGGACAGGTCTCAGCATCACATAAGAGAAAATGACGGGAAACTTGACTTGTACAAGCTGCTTGGCCTTTCAACTCCCCCTCTCTAAAATGTCCAGCTTGTATATCATCCCTCACCAACGTTTTATTGAACTTCTGCTCCCTTCTAGCCACAGTGCTGGGTTTGGGGAACAGGAGAAGAGCAAAGGACACTGCCTGCCGCTGTCCTCACGCAATGATCTAATGAGTTTGGAGAGAAGGTCTCATAGGAATGAGAAGCCATTCCCTCATGTTCCTGCTCCCTGCTCTTCCCACTGGAAAGGTCACCTCCTATCTAACTTGGATTCCTGTTCCCTTTTTTTTTTTGGAGAGGTTTTGGCCATAGGGCGCGTGCGCTTGCCAGAGAGAGAGAAAGTGAGAAATCACCCCCCAGGGGAGATGGCCACACCGCAATCCCTTCTCCATTCTCCTCTCAGGATCTTCGGCACGCATGCACATGCGCCCGGCGTGAGTTCAAGCCACCAGGTCTAGGACTGAAACCACTGTCGGCTACATGGGAGTCCAGCGACATAGCCATTACGCTAACTGCTGGCCCCCATTCCCTTCTTAGTAAGCTAAAAAGCAAGATGTCTGGGGGCCTCTCGTGCACATTGTAATGGACACATGAATTTTCCTTCTGACTTGGTGCTCCAGCCACTGACCTTGTTCTGTTCCTGAAACAGCCTATGTCTCTCCTACCTCTGGCCTTTCACTTGCTGTCCCTCTGCCTGGACACTCATCACACTTCTGGTGTCCCATCAGGTCTCAGCTCAGATGTCCGCTGATCGAGGAGGTTTTCACTGCTGACGATGTCTTGATGTAGTGGCTAGACCTCTGTTACCTGCTACCCCAGTACACTTACTGTCTTCGCGTCTAGGACAGTGCCAAGCTAACAATAGGTGTTCAAAGAGATACTGAACGAAATGTACAAATTGTGTCTCTTTGCTGGGTATTTCAACCTACTCCAAGCACTCTCTCCTGTACAGACCCACTTTTCCCCCTTCGCTTTCCTGAGCTGTGACCTCTGACACATCCCAGTTTCTTAGAACCTTAACATACTCCTTCCCCAGCTGCACCCCCACTTGCAGAATGGATGACGTCCTCCTCCAGTGCTTTTTCTGTCGGCAGATTCAGCAGGGCGGGGCCCACCCCTTTAATCTGGGCCACACCTGCTCTGGTCAGACAGGTTTGGAGACACAGGGAGGGAGGGAGAGAAATACTTGCAGAGCCAGCAGGCAGCTGGGCAGCACGTTCCTGGATGCTGGGGACCCTCCACCTCTCTCCAGATGGAAAGTAAGAGGGTGTCATGGGTGCAAACGGCAAGGGTGGGAGGGCCTGTGAGGAGATACGGGAGGGGAATGAGCCCCATCCCGTAGTAGGGTGGGGAGGAGAACCAGGGAGAAGGCATGAGAAACAGCCATGGTGGACCTAGAAGTCGGAATGGACAGGTCTAAGCTTTGTGGACTTGGGTGAGGTGGGCTAGTGAGGCGTGCGGAAACTGAAGATTGGAGATGAAAGGACAGGGCGCCCCACAACTGCCAGCTCCTTGGGACAGATTTGTCGGCAGATTTAAATCACTGAGCTCAGTTGCCAAGAGAGTTCCAAGGAAGGACCTGCAGGGAGAAGGGGAGATGGGACGCAGAGAGACAGATTTTCTGTCCACAGAAGATCCTTCCTTGGGGAGAAAGACGCTCTTGGCAAAGTGCTGGACCTCATTCCTGTAATAGGGTGGCCATGACTCCAGGGGTTTTGGTGGAGGGAGAAGGTGTGGGTGGTGACGGACCGTGGCGACAGCTGCCGGGGCCTGTGCCCCCTGACTCACCCTCTCCTGCGATGGCATCTGATGTCGAAAGGGTGCCTTCATCTCAGCTGTGCACTGCCCTCCCGCCTCCCTCTGTTTCGACACCTTCCTCTGCACCGTGTTCTCCTGACGTCCCAGAAGGGGCTAAAGTGCACGAGGCCATCTGCCCCGGAGAGTTCCAGTGCTGTCAGCCGGCCCGAGGGCCAGAAGACAGGGCTTCTGACAGTTTCCGTCTGCTCCCTCCAGGATGACATGACCCTGCGGTAGAGCCCCAAACCGAGGCCCCAGGATGACAGAGCCGGAGACCCTGGCCCTGCTGGAAGTTAAGGGGCCTGAGGCCTCAGAGAAGAGTCCACCCCAGGCTTTGCTTCCCAATGGCCGGCAACCAGAAGGGGACAGTGGGGCCGAGTCCCCCGGAGCTGAGACCCTCACAGTGGGGTCTTCAGTTGGGTCTCCCACCACCAGAGAGGAGGCCGAGAACGGCCTAGACAGCACAGTGAGCGAGGCTGCCACCTTGCCCTGGGGGGCTGTCCCCCAGCCCAGTGCCCCGTTCCCAGATCCCCCCGGCTGGCGGGACATTGAGCCAGAGCTGGAGTCAGAACCACCTACCAAGACCGAAGAGCCCCCAGAAGATGATGTCAATGTGCTGCCTGAGAAGGCGGCCCGGGCCTTCGTACCCATCGACCTGCAGTGCATCGAGCGGCGGCCCCAGGAGGACCTCATTGTGCGCTGCGAGGCTGTCGAGGGCGCCCGCCGGACCTTCCTGCCTCCCCGGGCCACCCACCCAGACCCCCCCGAGTGCAAGTGGGCAGAGGCAGTGGCCCGCCCCTCCGGCAGGTCCTGCAGGGGCTGCGGGACCTGTGGAGGGCAAGAGGGGCGGCGGGCCGTGGCCTCGGTGGGAGCTGCCCTCGTCTTCTTCCCCTGCCTGCTGTACGGGGCCTATGCCTTCCTGCCCTTCGATGCCCCACGGCTGCCCACCTTGAGCTCCCGCCTGGTCTACACGCTGCGCTGCGGGGTCTTCGCCACCTTCCCCATCGTGCTGGGTGAGCCTGGGCCCTGGGCGGGGGAGACCGTCGGGGAAGCAGATTGAGGGGCAGTGCCTGCCTGGCCAGGGGAGGCAGGAGGATCTCCTATCACCCCCCAGGCCCTCAGCCTCTAAGCCCGTTCCCCCCCAGGGCCACCTCAGCCCAGGCCACATGCCCAGCACCGGGAACCCTGCCCAGTGGTCCGCTGCCCCTTCCCCTGCCGGTCTGACCGTGTCCGGCCCGCAGGGCTCCTGGTGTACGGGCTGAGCCTGCTGTGCTTCTCTGCCCTCCGGCCCTTCGGCGAGCCGCGGCGGGAGGTGGAGATCCACCGGCGCTACGTGGCCCAGTCGGTCCAGCTCTTCATCCTCTACTTCTTCAACCTGGCCGTGCTTTCCACCTACCTGCCCCAGGACACCCTGAAGCTGCTCCCTCTGCTCACTGGGCTCTTTGCCATCTCCCGGTGAGTCGGGGCTGGGGCCGGCATGGGGGAGGCGAAGGTGCTAGAGACAGGCCTGTGGTCGTGCAGAGCCAGGCCAGAGCTTTCCAGGTCCCACACCAGCCCGTGTGTGACAGATCCCCTCTCCTCTTGCCTGTTACCTCCCCGGTAGCAGGTGGTCGGCTCAGGAGTCCTCCCTCGGACGGTGAGTGCAGAGACAGTATACAGGGTAGGGCTGGGGGGCGCCAGGCACTGCCTAGACCACATGGAGCCACTCCTCTGTGGCACTTGGTCAGGGACCTTTTTTGGCCCCTAGCGGGCTGAACACCAAATACTCAATTCTTTTTTCTAAAGAACTATTTTATTTAACTTTATTTATTTATTATTTTAAAAGTTTGATCAGAGAGGAGCAGAGTGAGAGAGAAAGAGAGAGAGAGGGAGGGGAAGTGAGAAAGCAAGCTACCAGGTCTGGGACTCGAACTGCGGTCAGCCATGTGAGAGTCCAGTGCCCTTAACCACCATGCCACCTGCTGATCCCAGTACT